GCTATGCTGGCTGGGGAATTCTGGGAGTTGAAGTCCACTCATCTTAAAGTGGCCAAGTTTGGACAACACTGCCTTAGGCCAAAGGAGTATATTTGTACCTCCCTTCTAGGACTGAGGTAGGAAAGACATCCAATTAACCCAGGGAGAATACCATCCTATACTTAGGGATTGTAATTTGACAGGTATATGTTGCAGGTCTAAGGAGGGTGAAAGAGCTAGTCGTGAATATATCCTTGGGAAAAAAATGCCAGGTCTAATTGGATATCAGCATCCTTAATCCACTACCTAAAAACTGCTATTGCACACTCATACCCAACTGTACAGAGTTGGGTTAATTAAAATCCAAGGAGTTCCAATTTTTTGCCTACTGCTTTGGGCCATGATGAAACAAAATTCTCAGTAAGAATCCAAGATATCAGGCCTACAGGGGCAAAGTATATTGTGCCCAGGACTGTAAAAATGTATAACCAAGCATTGTTCTCAGTCTTACTGATACCAGCCTCATGGATTTAATTGATTATACCATTTCATTAGATTCTTGAAATGTTACTCTAGAGTAGAAATAATAATGTTCTAACCCCTAAGTGAAATCAACTCTCAATTTTTTTAAAAAAAAGTATATTCATGATATAAAGCCAATTAGAACTATTATGGTGGGCTTTTTTTCTTTAGTAAGTGTTCAATACCATTTTTTTTCACTGACTGCAACTCTTGGAAATTGCAGCAGATATTTCTGCTCTTTCATTCTTGATACTTCATGAAACCTATTTTAGAAAAGGAGGTATTAGACAACATGCATTAGACAAATGTATACTGACAGATTCCTACTGAATACCATCAGTTGCTATTCTGAAAGACAAGGATATATTCCAATTGCAGGAAAATCTAGTTGTTTAAAATTCTAAGTGCAAAATTCTGCTATGAATCTAAGCTTCTTTGAAGTTCAGACCTGTCTGGTCCAGAGTCTTGGCTCCATTTACAGCTGAAGATCCCCTGGCATAATCTACCAAGGATCAGATTCAAGTGTGAAACATACATGAAATGTTTCTGTAACAAGTAGCTGCTAACCTGCAGTCCAGGAAACAGCCATGGTTGTGAGGGTATTGGAGATGGTCCCTGGAATATATAATTTTATATATATGAATGCACACAAACTTTCATGTTTTCAAATCCCATAAGATGTTGAGGTTATCTTGTGATTTTGGCAATGTTGCCAAAATATTGCAACACTTCCTACTGTGATCTCACAATGTTTGGGCCATTAAAAATAATTTTGATTTGATTTGAATGATGAAAGGAGTTGATCATCTTTTTCAGGGGCCCAAGATCCTCCATTACATATGCCTATCTTATGTGGTGAGCCTCAATATAATATAGTGGTCTATATAAAGGAAAAATTTGGGAGGCATTGCTCTAAACATCACTGGCATTCAGCACAGACACTCTTGAAATGTTCCTTATTTTCATCCCGAGTACTAAGTGCTAATGCTTAAAAAAATTGCAGTAGACTATTAATATGCCAACAGGTGCCTGGGACTGCTATAGGTTAACAGAGCATGAATCTGGTAATCCTCACACCCAATTTCAACAGGAAAGAATATTGTGTCATACTTCCCAATGCTCACAAGTAAATATTTTCTGGAAAGCACAATAAACTTTAGGTTGCCAACAGTCCCAAAAATAAATAAATAACAAATAAACCAAATAACAGAGACAGAATGAAGAATCTGCAATATCGAAGCTTCAAAATTTGTTCTGGGGCTTAAGGATAACTAAAGATAGATTAACATTTCATGTTCCTTTGAAATACCTATATGGCAGGTAGATTTGTGTGCCCTTTTACACTAAAAATTGGGAGCTTTTTTACTGGCACATGATTCACCAGCATGTCCTGTCATTTTAAATGCCCAATTTTATGAGAATGTTACTATATTTTAAATCAGTTTCAAAGAGGTCAAAAATGAAAGGTGAGATTTGGGGCCACCACAACTGGACTGCAGAAACCTGGATGACTACTAGATGATGAAGCGAGTTTACAGTACCACCTTTTTTGCTGCCATTTAGTGATTGTCTGGATTTTGAGCACAGATATGGTATCCCTAGTGAAACTGATCCCACACTTAGGTTTACAGACAAATAAACATTAGCATTTCTGGTGATTACCATTCTTTTTTTAGCAGGAACTAAGCTTGGAAAATTTTGATTCCTTTTGAACTGTAAGAAATGAATTCTAGTAACACATACTGTATGATCAAGGCAGATGAACTGATTAGAAAATTAGAATAATAAATTACCGTATGTCTTTTGGATGTGCTTTCTGAAATGTAAATAATCCCACTTACAAAACCTAACTGTTACATCTATGGAAGCTAGCACGTGATGAGATCAGCTATCATGTTATATCCTAAAAATTCTTCAAGATCTTTACTAATGCATATAACATAGCCTGGTGAATATTTTTACATAGGGCAGGGCTCCCAAAATAACTTCAGAGAAATTAATTAAGGCCCTTCCTTAGAAGGGATGAAAAGTGGAAATGCATACCAACAAACACAGCTCTATAATAGAAACATCAGTCAAAATTATTTGTAGATTGCTAGGTTTGCACGTTTTACTTCACAGTGCTTTCCCAAAAGTTTTACATAACAATTTTTAAAAGTTGATTTAAGAAATGAATTAGATATGTTAAAAACTAAATGAGTATTGATAAGCTCTAATATGCATGGCAAAATACCTGTTTTTCTATTACTCTTTATAATTATTTCTGTGGCAGAGCCCATAATAAAACAGTACAAATCAGACCAAACATTCCTTATGGATTATTGCATTTCTTGAATGGGAAAATTGTTATCCTAAAAACAAATTAAGGAAGCCAACAAGTCTCAAGTAGTAATAATAGCAATATCAGCAATAATTGACTCAATGTTTGCTATGAAAACATCCAAAAGGGGCTGAAAGTACCTTTGATTGAGTAAAGTATTTTACAATACTTTGAATGTGTGTGTAAAGTAGAAAAATCCTAATTGTAATGTTAGTTTTTTATTGCCTTATATAAAAGAGAATCAAGAGTGCAATCCTGTGATTTGAGGAGAGTACCCCAAGAGCTAAAGATTAGCCTACAGCTTCCTTTTCCATTGAGAAAGGGGAAAACCTTGAATCAAAATTGGGGTCTTTTTGCTGCTACTGCTCCTCAACTGGCAACGTTTTGAGGATTAGAAGGAAGGGGGGAAAAAAGCACCTGAAAAGAACAAAACTTCTCTGGGGGAAAACCATAGGCAGAGAACATAAAGGAAAAAGAAAGCTTGACAAGTGAAATGATATCCAAAAGAAAAAATCCTAATATTTCTTAATTGTATTAAATATTTGATTTGAGTCTCTTTATGATGATCAAGAAGAACTCAACAGTATACTTTTAATGAGGAAAGGGGAGAGGAAATACTAATTATCTGAAGCAATATTGTTTGCTCATTTCTACATTAAGAATCTCATCCTGATAAAATGCCATGTCCAATTTTAATTGTACAGTATATGCAAAGGTTTCCAGATTAACCAATAATTTCATTCTGACAGAAGAATAAAATCAAATATTGGGGCTTCAAAAGCTATTGCTAGAGCTTCTGCAAATAATTAATGCTGATTGTTGTACAAAATAGGTGAAAGTAAAAAAAAAAACCAGTTTTATTTTACTATAGTAGTTCCTCTTTAGTCTAGCCCAGTGTTTCTCCACCTTAGCAACTTTAAGATTAATGGACTTCAACTCCCAGAATTCCCCAGCCAGCCATGCTTAGGTCTTTATGATAGCTATAAATCTCACTGCCATGCAGGAATGAGAGAACTCAGGGAGGGAAGGAGGTGTTAAACCCCTTTCTCCGTCATATTCTGGTTGCTGGAACAGACCATCTGCTCTCTTGCTCTGGGTGCTTGATTTGTAAGTCACCTTGAAGTTAAACCAGAAAAAATAACAGTAACCATGAAATCTACCATTGGTTCAGCTTCTGTGCTGTTTGTATGTATTCCAGATAATGCTGCTCAGTCTTGACTTCTATGAGACTTTTTTTTCTCCCTCTAGTAGATGTTTCCAGGTCTCAAATCCATCTTGATTACAAGGAGTGCCTTATCCCAGAGGATATAGAGTTGTTTTGAGGGCTTAATTTCCTGGAATAATAGGCACAAGGCACAAGGTATGTATATTCTCTGCAATTTACAACTGAATGACCCCCACTACAACACTGAAGCATCTCTTTCAATGACAAATGTATAGGAGTGTCAGAATGTTACAGGGCAGGCTGAGTAGAGAAAACCTTATTTAGCTTTTCAAAGGCTTTCTGAGCTGGTGCATCCCAAATTAACGGAGTTTGTTTGCAGATTAGGTTGGGACTGTGGACTAAGCAAAACCTAGAATGAAGGAGCAGTAATAGTTTGCAAAGCCCATTAACCTCTGGATATCCTTGACTCCTTGGGGATGTTGCCAGGACTAGATAGCTTCCACTCTGGCAGAGTCCATCTGAATCATGTGACTCCCATAAAGGTCAAAATTAGAGAAAATACATGCCTTCTGCAAATGCTCCAAACGTTTAGTGATTAGGGCAGAGCATATTTATTCCAGATAGTGATATGGTTGAGAGCCTGGTAATCATTACAGAATCACAATTTACATCCATCCATCCATCCATCCATCCATCCATCCATCCATCCATCCATCCATCCATCTATCTATCTATCTATCTATCTATCTATCTATCTATCTATCTATCTATCTAATTCATATGATTGCCCATCTCACAAAAGTGACTCTGGGTAGCATACAACAATTAAATGAAACAGTAAATATATAGAAAACATCATTATTAAAAATATAAAACAGTCATTATTAAACTACAAACCACCAGGCATAGGAGAGAGTAAATATTAATCAAAATGATGGAGCCATCTTAGAACGTCATTGGCCCCCTGGGACCCCCAGGCCTGATGACATAGCCAGATCTTGAGGGGCTTATGGAACAGTACCAGGGATGGACTTAACCTCACTTTGGGGACAAGAATGTTTCATAAAGTGGGTGCCACAGCAGACAAGGCCCACCTCCTGGAACCCGCCAAGTGTAAGTCCCTAGCAGATGGGATCTGAAGCATACCTTCTCTGCCAGATCTAATGCCAGATCCAATTCCCTTAATTTCTTTTTAAAAAGTTGCATAAGGGCAGCAGTAGGTGATGCAGAGAGGCAAATGAAGCCTCTCATAAGATTCTTGCTGATAAAAGTCCCACTGAGTAGCAAATTCTAGCTTTGAAAGTGGAGAGATCCACCTTACTGGAATTTTGGCTCCAGAGATCAGATCAATGGAGCAGTTGTAGGGCCAATGAGATAGATCAGCCTCCTGTTCACATGAAGTCAGCATACCTGTCAGAAAGCTCTCTCTGATTGTATCAGCTGCCACAACTGCAACAGGTGTAGCTGATTTTATTTATTTATTTACATGGATTTTAAAAAAAAAAACTTCCAACAACTCTGAGTGCTGTACATGATAAAAAGGTCCACCGCATGGACCTAACCACAAGTCACTTCCCAATCAATGTTAACCACCCAGGAGGGAGCTGAAATTAATAAACAGGTCACTGAGATAACAGTCTGAAGGACTTTGTCCACTTCATCAAGAGTCACAGGTTTAAACTAATCCCAGTAAACCCACAAGATCATATCCCAGGGACCTCAACAGGACTTCTCCAGTTGTCCATATAACAGTTCCTTTGTTTTGCCTGCTGTTCAGGTGACAGATGAGGTCTGGCCCTTCCAGTTTATATGAGTTCTGGAGGCCTGGATGATGTACCTTAAGCTTCAGGCAGTTGGAGCTTAGGTCCTTGCATCTGGAAGGAGACTGAATGAAGTCTCTGGGTCCAGACCCACATCAGTTTACAAACACAGATGAATGATGTCTTGCAAAGTGGCAGGGTGTTCCACTTTGGATAACTCATCTAGAATGCCCACTGCAAGTGCCTCCTGGCACTGGTCCATCAGAGCAGCCTCATTCCAGTCTAGGTTTTGGGCCAAGAGTCAAGTCAGTCATATTTGCCTATTAATTGGCCTCTCTGCTGTAACTCCCTAGTGCAACAGTTTGTCATGGAAGATCTAGTAGGATCTTCAGACATAAAGTACCTAACAAACTTACTGTAGTTAGATAACTATGGGTTGAATAGCCTAATTAGCAGCTGAGCCCAAAAGCAGACTGATAAAGAAGCCAACTTTCAATTGGTCTGTGTGGAAGTCTTTGAGATAAAGGCTCGTGTAAGATTACAGTGAGCCAAAAAAGCAGAAACTGACCAAGAGTACTATCAGAGTTCTTCAGTACCAAGACAGGCATTTAAGATGTGGTGTTGCAGCCTGTACATATAGTCCTTACTTACTGACTGCTAGTTCAGCAACCATTCAAAATTACAATGGTGCTGAAAAAGATTAAAGACAGGTCTTGAAACTTGCGGCAGTCACAACATCCTGTGGTCACGTGATTGCCATTTGTAACCTTCACAGCTGGCTTCTGACAAGCAAAGTCAGTGGGGAAGCTGGCAGGAAGTTGCAAGTCACAGTCATATGATGTTGTGCTTAGTGACTGCAAATGATTTGCTTCACAACCACAGCTGGAACTGATGTCATAAGTCAGATGCAGTTATGTAATATTTCACTTTACAACCACATCACTTAGTGATGGAGTTGCCAGTCCCAACTGAGGTTGGTAAGTGAGGATTACCTGCACTATCAGTTGTGTCAGTTTTGCTTTTAGTTGTTCAATTTCAACTGGTAATTGTTCCATACAGGAGGCTACAGTTAAGGGAGGGGCTTCTTTTATAGGGCTTGGCAAGCAATCTGCCCTATGCTAGCACTTAAAGTGCAGGAGGTCAGAACTGGGTTAATGTCTTTATGACAGGTATCAATCTCAGGCATGTGAGAGCTCAGGAAAACCAAACAATTTTAGTACAGAAGCTAAGGTTCTATGCAGACAAATCCAGGAATCAAAGCTGAGTCTAGTATTGTATAAGTCCAAAGATCACTCAGAATCTTAAGCAGCACATATTCAAGGAAGTCACGTCCAAGGTTGGAAAGTTGTTTGTCAACAATAGTCTTGACTCCCAAGCTCTTCTTTCATAGTATGGATAGGCTTGCCTATTTTCCTCAGTCCTTTTGTGAAGCCTCATTGGCTTATCTCTGTTCTACTTGTTCTTGTTGTATGTGCAAGGGCTGAAGATCTTTTCCTGCTCAGGGTCTAGGTCAGGTGACTCAACCTGCTGCTGCCCTTCTGCAACAAGTGGGTAAATAGCTGACTCCTCTAGACTTGCAGGCTCATCTTCCAACAGCCCCTGCTCTTTCTGAGCCTCATCTGCAAATGTCTAAGAGTCTGCTAGTTCCTGATTAGCAAGGTCAGAATCTGCCAAGCCCTGCTCCTCCAATTAAGAAACTGACTGGTCAGACAGACCCATAACAACTGTTGGGTGGCATTCCACTGATGGAACAAGGTTGGAGAAATATTGATTTTTCACCACTCTTATTGCCACAGTATAGACCCAAATACCACCACAAGCACCCCAAATATCTTTTGAAGTTTCATCTCCTGGAGCTCCTCAGTAAACCAGCCCTCCCCCAGGTTCTGTATTTAGCAACAATACAATCCTATTTATGACACTAATGGCTTCCTTATTCTAGAGATTAACTAGAGTTGTGGAAAAATTGCTCACCATATAACTGGGAAACTCCCAAAGGGTGGGACAGATTCATAAGGTATCTGGGGCAGACCATATTTATCAGTTCATCAGTCCTGCATAGATAACTTGTGGCACCCAGGCTCAGGCTGACCAGGAAGTAATCTGACCATAACAAAGGGGTAGTAATTAAGTCCTCCAGTTTCAGATCATGCACCATCTACTCCAGGGTAAAAACTAGATCCAGCATGTGTCCATGGGTTGAGACCAATATCAGTTGAGACATATCCTGGACCCCATGTTAAGGATATGGAAATTGAAATCGACCAGCACTAGTACTCTTGAGATGAGCTCAAGAAACTTAGATGGTATTGGAAAATAGTAATTAGAAAGCTGAACTAACTATTTTAGAAGAAGTTAGTGTTTTACCATAATAGAGAAACAAGAGGGTCATGCTGACAGATAAGAAAGGAATAGGAAGAAACTGTTACGCTTCTGGCAAGAGAGATAAGGCATACCAATTAGAAAGTGAGAAATCAGGCTATACCTTATTTGGAAAGTTAAACTTGAGAATGTTATAATTAGGCATGCTCAAATTAGCTGTTTATACCTGACTATAAAAAAGTGTTGCAGCCCTTGCACAGACCTGACTGCATTCAATGCTTTTGCCTTGTGTGCTAATTTTTTTTCAGACTCTGAAATATAGTGTCTGGTGTTTGACCTGAGCAAGGAACAACCCATAGGGAAGAGATTCTTCTAACAATGGTAATGCTGTTGGGCAGGTAAGTGATACACCAACAGAATCCTTAACTTCCTCCTGAAGCCCAACTTCAGGTACAGATAACTTGAATCAATTACCTCTAGAGCAGGTCCTCTAGAAACAGTCAGGTTGTTCAGGAGGATCATCGCTACTTTGCCTTCCCACCCTTGGCTCATAGTTGCTACACCATGTGAAAACCTGGAATCCAGTTCTCAGACAGAACTCAGAAAACATCCCCACTCTTTGCTCAGCCAAGCTTTGGTGATGCACATGAGGTCTGCTTGCTACTTAACAGCTTGAGGCCAAGGCGTTCAGTGATAGAGTGCTCAAGGCTCCATGAAGAGGCTATTGAGCAATAAGAGGGGGCTGGAACCACATTGGCTGTCCCCCTTCACCAATAATAGTTAGACCAGCACCTACCACCATACCTCCTTCAGCAGGTCATTGTCAAAATCTGACTGCCACCCTCTTGCTCCACCTTAAATAACCTGTTCCGACCCTCATTTGCCAAATCTTGAACTGTACTGCCCTCCTCCACCCACACATCAGTATCCACAAGCCTGCCTCTACCTAGACATCCACATCCCATCAATGAAGTTGATATCAGCCATGCAACTAATGCTGCCCTCCCAGACAAGCTCTAATCCACCCTCAGTCTTTGTCTGACAAAGGCCAACCTGCACTTTCACTCCAGGATAAGGTTAGGCTCTTCTACTCTCTGCCTCTCATCTAAAGAGTGGGGATCTTTCCAGCTATTTATCCCAGTAAGCTTGCTGGATGTGTTTCCGGAGGGAACCAAGGGACTGCTGGTGGTGGTCACATCACACATGCAAGGTTCTCCCTCCAAAGTCTTTAAAAGCCTCCACATTTAGGAGCTGCTGTATAACAAATTCCCAACAGTGATGGCAGCCGCAGCTCCCCCACAGCCTCATTAATGTGTCTGAACTGCCTCTCCACTAATGGCAACAACAGCCTTTTTTTTCTTTTTCCTTTCACACCATCTCTTTATTTCTCAACATGGCAGAGATGCCAGAGGTTGCAACATTCTACTGACCCCCTCATCCACTTGTCCAGTTTATACTCTTTCCAACATATCAGAAGTCTCAACTGGAGGACCATTTAGAAATTTGGATTGCCCATACTAATGTATATTTTAAATTTCTCATTTGTTTTCTGATTGCTGGATAAACTGACTGAAACGTGAAGTATTTGGTTATATTTCTTGAATGCATTTAGATTTGTGCAGACTCTTTGACGATGCCTTTCACAAGCTGTTAAGACCTGGCTCTTTCTCCAGACATTAGGGGCCAGTTGAATGGGAGAAGCCTTGTAGTTGTTTTGTTGTGTTCTCGGTTGCCATTTTATAGTTTGTATTTATATATTGTATTGTTTATTGTTATATTTTTTCTTTTTTTTAATTTATTGTTTGTTTTTATGCTGTACACTGCTCAAATCTTATGAATGAATGAATGAATGAATGAATGAATGAATGAATGAATGAATGAATGAATGAATGAATGCTATTCTAACAGAATTGTCTTCTGGACATGTACCTGTTTCCCACACAACCTCAGGTTTTGAGATCATGTAGCAGCCATACAAACCTTTTGAGTGGCTGTGGCTACTTCATGCCACAGATCTGGAGCAGTGCTGTTCTCAGAAGCACCTCATCAGAACATTTACATAGGCTTAGTGCAGGACTAGTTTAAATTGGTATTTGAAATGTATGTTGGGGAAGCAGATTGTTCTTTCTCTCTATTTTTTTCTTCTAACAATAGTAAAAAAAAACAAATGCCTCTTCACATACCTCTTTTAAATTAAATTTATTAATAAAAAAAGTTTGGAGAAAAATAAAGTAGATTTTTGTGAGGAAATACTCTCCACTCTGGTAATTAAACTAGTTCTGAGCTGAATATTTTCCTTACAATAATGGATATTTTTGCCTTTAGCTTATGCCATTGGATCTGGACATTCTAATAAAATAGCTGTCTACAAGCAGGAAGTCTGTTCTTCTTTGGTGTTGTGGACAGAGTGATGTACTTGAAGTAAGAAGACAAACATAAATCTGTTCAACCATGAAGCTGTTTGGGAACTGTGGAAATAGTCACATGTTCTCAGCTTTATCTTCATTACCAATTGTTGTGATGCTAATGTCTTTTATAATTTATATCCTTCTAAACATAAAAAAATGTCTTGTGGAGGCTTTTCATACAAAAAAAGTATAAAACTATTTTTCACAAATAAATAAAGTGACCAATGAGACATTGTCCAGAACTTCATAGAAGAAAGGAAGGTAGAGCTATGCAACATTCTGAATTTGCAGGACAAAATGAGGCTCCCGGTGTGCACAGCAGCTGTCAGGAGCAGTTTAAACTAAATAGGTCTCACCACTCTGCAATCCCAGGTATAGGCTCAGCTGCTTCAAGCTGTTCCTGAAGATGTTCTGTGCATGTTCTGAATCATATTTTGCCTTTCAAATGTGGATTGCTGCACAGCCCTATGAAAACAATCTAAATAATCAGTATACATTCTGATCATTCATTTATAAAATCTTCAGGACAAGAAACCAGACCCCTCTGCACCATATTGCATATTTCACATTCCTCCACTATTCTTTCTTAGTCCCCCTTTGCACTGGCCAGACTCTCCTTTATGCTGATAATTGTTTGGCAGACTTCCATATTTGTGGGCTGTTCAGTCATCACAGCACATGTAATGCTTGCAACTGCTTTTATTTATTCCTGGTGTATGATGAATTAGGCCATCTGTCTTTTATGTCCACCACCACCCCCTCTCCTCTCCTAGCAAGTTGTCGGCGCCACCAGGCTGTCAGTCAAGGTCAAGAGCTCACCCCAAGGTCTCCGTCCTTTCCTCTCTGTTGAGAATATAGCAGAGCTCTGACGTTACCTCTTGAAATTTCCAGAGAAGTGGCAAAGATATGAAAGGCTGATCTCAGCTTGCGTTGATCATGATGAAGGCAAATAGGATAACCAGCTTCATATTCATAAATATTTGAAGAGACATAAGTTTCAGCATAGTAAGATCAGGGAGATAAGGAGCTTAGAAGTTAAAGTTTTGTTTGGCAGTTACACAGGAATGCAATTTTAATATAGTAGTTTTATACCAATTCATTGTCTATGGTGAACAGCTAAAAGCATCTTGCTAATCTTCTGAATCATTTCAGAAACTTAAAAATTACTTGGGAAAACCTTGGTTAAAATTGAGATATATGGGCATGACCTTTTGGTGACAGCTTGTAGATGTGACAACAATATGTGGTTGTTTTTTAAAATCATACCTTTGAAAACGGCTATTCTTGTCCGTGGTGCAGCAAGCTGAGCTAGTTCAAAGTTTTATGTACATGAAAGATGTAGATGGCATGGCATGAAAAGAACAAAGCAGATCTAGCACTGGCTTAGTTTTAAAGTTTATTAGCTTAGCACAGGATTTGGCAACACTATGATAATGGCACTAGGGTACTTATAGCAACATTAACATTGGTTAACCTTGTCTTAGTACAAGGGTGAGCAACTGTCTTTGGTCTCAGTGCCGTGTATAACTACCCGCCATTAGCTGAGGACTACAGGGGGTGTAACCATTTACACTGTAACACTGTGGGAGTTTTGAGGGATGAATTTTTGTGGACTTTTTCAGGGACTGAGGGGTTTCAAAGGGTAAAAGGGTGACTTGAGCCTCTGCGAGGTTTAAGACATCATTCTGCCCCTTCAATTTCTTCTCCCCATCTCCACAGAGATTTTGAAGTTTGCCATGTGATTGTCTTCAATCTTGCCAATAACGGACAGGGAGCACCATGTAGCAAAAAGTGCTTCCTTTAAGTCAACTAACAGAAGGCTTTAAAAAAAATTATTCAGGTCTCTGAGCTATTGTAGCTTCTAAGCTAAAAAAAATTCCCACCACATAGAAAGGAGGAAAAACAAATTGATGGACATATATCCTCTCTTGAGTTTTCAGTATACTTTGCATGCATTTGACTGTTTTGCAAAAAGAAAAAGAAAAGTATGTGTGAGCAGTTCATATAAAGGAAAATCTACTTCGCTGTCAAAACTATCATTCTGCAGGTAACTTCACATTCGGTTTTGTGTTGTTGGCATGACAAAGTAATCTTGTAGCCACCGTTGTAGTTGCAGTATTAAGCCTCTATGTGTGAGTGTATGGGAGAGTAAGTAATGTCTCAGAGCTGAAGAAATGAAGCAAGAATTCAGTGTGTATAGATTATATAAACAAGGAAAAAAAGCAAGGCGGTTTTCTCAGAAATTTTGAACTCATGTTATGCTTAATGAAAAGGAAGAAATTTTAAAACTCTGAAGAATTCTGGGCAAACAGGGATTAAACATAATCTCCAAAGTCTGTAAGATTTAGGGATACACAGATAAATACCCTGGAATACCCCCATTCAGATGCTGGCGGCCTAGCAGTGGTTGGCTACTGGATGGAGAGGGCAGAGATAAATTATAGGGAATGATTTTGACTTGCACCCTTAGAAGGAGTAATACTATGAAATCAACAATATTAAAAAGAGAATTATGGGGATAAGTGGAGAAGGTTCTTACTGTTAAAAAAATAAATGAACTTTATAGGAATATATAAGAAAATTAAAATACTATTCATTAAAACCACTTAGCAGTCCCAAATAACTTGCTTCTCTTTGGCTTGCCAAATTTTCATGGTTTGGCAACATTTACGCTGCATTAGTGTAATGCGCTGCAGGTGGAACTGCATTGAAAGAAAGTTCAGAAACTTTGCTGATACAGAATATACCTCAGATACAGTTGACAGCTGTATAGCTCACTCATGTGGTAACATTAATATTACAACATAATTCAAGTCTATTCACTCTATCATATATGTATTCTAATCAACAAATGTGCAGTCAACTTTCTCACATTTCATACACCTCTCAGTGACCTGTTAAAAAGCAAAAATCAAATCTGCACACACACACACACACACACACACATCCCCACATCCCTTCCTTGGCATAAAACTATACTACATGCTCCA